GCACATCCTATATATCTAAATTGAATAATGGTACCAGATACAATGATAGATGGGATTGAAGCTGTGTATCATCCATTATCATGTGTAATCAATAAATGATTTAATTTTCTTGAAAAAAAAAAAAAAAAAAAGATATCATTCAGATTTTACACTCACTTTCTCACGAGTCTTTTCCAGGAAAGTTAGAGCTACATTGGGATCTAGAATATAAATAAGAACAAGTCAGAAGAACCTCAACTGCTGGTCTCCACCAGCCAAGACATCTTTGAGCAGGGTAATTTTTACTGCTAGCTCATAACGTACAATAAAAACATAACCCAAAACCTGATCTTTCCTATCAAATCATAATGAAGTTATTGTCCAAGATCACCCTATTGTTTAGAACTGCTCCACTGCAAAACGAAGCGAGGCTTACCAGTCATCTGTCTAACCACATGGAGAATTATTTCTACCAGTGACAAGGGGTTCACCCTGAAATAGAAGCCACAAGTTTTCGAATGTCGAAGAGGACTAACACACTCATTTCAAGGTGAGAATCGTCAGAAGGGTCTTACCTGTGTTCAAATTCACTGATGAAGTTCTCGTAAAGCTGCAGAATGGAAACATGGAGAGTAAGCACTGCTGCAAAACCAGGCTCCACACCCTGTCTTCAGCTGAAGAAGCTGCATGAGCACTCCCAAGCTAGGATTTTGCTCATCACCTAGCGAGCGCTACATAAATGCTGGTTCAGTCAGAGGGGCCTCCAGGCGACTTCTTTATGCTCATCCACATGACCGCTGCGGGGTCAACACCCAGGGCTTCTTCCTAGCTCTGGGAAATTAAAACCCCAACCCAAGAACACCTGGAAAGGCAGGTCCGGTATTGCTTCTCTAAGGTGCCCCGAGCACAACAGATCATCAGTTGGAAATGCTCACTTCTTCAATTTAGAAGACTATAGGCTAATTAGACCCTTTCATCAGATTTTTTAGTACGTAAATACTTGAGCACTTTCTCAGACCCCCATGACCAGGTATCTAAGACACAGGATGTGTGAGATGAACACTGAATCTTCAAGGGATTTCTGGGTCAGGACAGTCTATGAACAAATGAATGAGCAAAACTGTTTTCAATAACTAGAGAAAGAAAGCATATCAGTTACTGAGCCAGAAGGGAAGAGTTTTGAAGGTCATTCCCAAAGTGGTGACAACTGGGTTTCAAAAATGAAAAGCAGTTAAAGGGGGGCCTCTGTTGTGGGACAGAGGGACAGGTGAGAAGATTTCACACAGAAAGAGTCCTTTAAGGGACACAGACAACTGAGAATTAGCCTTTTCCCCAAAAGCAGGGCTGAATGTGGACAAACTTCCCTGAGGCAGAGAAGACCACAAAGGAGAGACCAGTCTTGTCTTGGCTTTGAAGAAGTGTAAAGATGCAAATGTTCCTGTGCATATTTCGATATTTAGATCTGGCACACAAGCCTTTTCATGATAAGGGAGTACTTTTAAAAGGTTATGTTGTCCATGAGAATCTACTGATGTGAGTGTCCCTTTACATGAGGTTCCTTTGGGTAGTAAAATGTCAAACTGACGGGGTGTGGTGTTGTAAGCCTGTGAGTCCAACACTTGGGTGGGTGTAGCAGGAGGAACACTACAAACTCAAGGCTAGTCTGAGCTACAAGGTGAGTTCAAGGTCAGCCTGTGCTACATACTAAGGCCCTGACTCAAAAACATCAATCAATCAATCAATAAAATGTCAAATTGGGGCTGGTGAGATGGCTCAGTGGTCTAAAGCACCTACTTAGAACAAGCTTAGCAAAGCACAGGGACCGCGGTTCAATCCCCCAGCACCACATGCCAGCCAGCCCCGCCCCCTGGTGGGCTGAGCTGGCCGCAAGCACACACACACACACACACACACACACACACACATAAATAAAAATTTAAAAAAAAAAAAAAGTCAAATTGATGGGTACCACAAGATGATCTCGTAAGCGTAGGAAGTAGGGTACTAAGGTCGTAAACTTCACTGTTCTGTATGCAGAGAAATATCTTAAACTATAATTATAGACTAGTTATCCATCATGATGCATGTATTAATCTCTGATTCATTTCAAGTCAGAGAGACATCAAAGACTAAGATGTCAGGAAAGACTTCAAAAGGAAGGCTTCCTGTGAATATGTCAGGGGATCTGGTTAAGGCTGGGAAAGACTCTAACATTTTTTTTTTTTCTGTTTCTTTTTTAAAGGTATTTAGTACAGGGTCTACAGGGTCTCATTACAAAGCTCAGACTTGTAGTGATCCTCCTGTTTTCAGCCTCACAACTGCTGGGATTACAGGTATGTGCCACCACGTCCAGTCACAATCAATGTCTCAGCATGCCTGGGTGCAGGGCCGGCAAAGGACACTGGGGATCAGACCCGGTCCCTGTGCCTGCCTAAGCAGGTGCTTTAGTCTGCTGAGCTATCTGGCTGGCCCAAGACTCTAAATTTTTCTGTTGATAGAATTCGAAAAGTGATCCATTCAAAGGTACATAATATTATCAAATCTCTTCCATCTTACCACCTTAAAGCAAAGTACAAAAGGTTTTCTGCCTTCTACACTACTGAGGACAGAGCTGTCCAGGCAAGCAAAATCAGTATGGATAAGAGAAGGGAGGACTGAGAGGAGTTACCTAAAGGTCCCCATAGCAACCCTCTCTAACAGTAGTGGTGAACTTATGGAATGCGTGCTGCAGAGGTCTATTTCTATCACTGAAAGCTCTAAAAGGCTTGTCATCAATGTTGTGTACCATACTTTATGACTGACTAAACTCTCAATTTATGAAAAAGTTTTCCCAAAGAATAGAAAACAAAAACGAAACAAGTTTGTGAACAAAAACATATCCAGGCATGTTTTTTTAGGTTAGATTTTTTTGAGACGAGGTCACACTATTTTGTCTATTTTGACTTAAGACTCACAATCATGCCTTCTGAGTAGCAGAGATTACAGGTGCATATCACTTTGTGCCTGGCATCCTTTTTGTTTTGTTAATGCTGGAAATTTAATCCAGGGCTAGTACATACAAAACACATGTTCTACCAATAGTCTAGAAGTTTGGAAAACAGAATTCCTGTATTTGAATAATAAATCTTCTGTGACTTATTAGCTGTAACCTATGGTAAGTTACTTAACCTCTTTTGTCTGCTTGCATATAAAAAAAAGATAAAAGTAGTACTTATTTCCCAATATTGCTACGAAAAATTAAATATATAATATGCTTACATCAGCTTCTCACAGAGTTGATTAATGAACTGGTGTGGCTTATTATTACTATCATAAAGTCATCCATCATTTCAAAAAATTCTTTGCACACTTGATGTAATCTAACTTAGCATGACAAATTATTTACCTTAATGAGACCATCTCCCTGGGCAAAGCATGGGTCCTGTACAAAATCAAGGACCTGAAGTGTCAGTTGATGCCATAACCTGAAAAACAAAGGCCCTTTAGATCTATAAACTACCATGCAGTTATAGGTACCTTCAGTCTTGATGGTCCCATCAAACAACAAATAACTACCAGTATCTACTGTTTAGCACAGAGTGTCAAAGCAGATGCTAACAAATCTGAGTTCTTATCCGGGGTCTGCTATTAGGTCACCTGAGCTCATTTATTCTCTCTAAGCCTATCTTCTCATACAGCATATAAAATGGAGAACATTTTTCTAGACTGCTTCAAAGGGTTATTGTAAAGTGTAACCGGCAAGAATTTTGGAGCTCCAATGAAATCCAGGCTCTCCTTATTAGCTAAGTGTCTCAGCCAAAGAAACGGCTTTTGTTTCCTCATCTGCAAATAGGATAAAGGAAGGATGAAACAAACTAATATATAAAACCTCTAGTACTCTCCACCCAAAAAAAAACCCCAAAAGCAAAAATTCAATAATGCAAATAAAATGCTTTGAAAAATACAAATTGCTTCTGAACACAAGCAATCATTTGTCAAACATTAAGAACTTTCTTTCAACAACTGCTAATTGTAGAAGACTGCTGAACATCATTAAAACCTGTGAATTCCTGTATGAAATGTTCTATGCTAAGCGCCCCAGTGTTAGCAGAGGCGTTATCACAGGAGGTCTGTTCTGTGGGACAGTTCTAGCCCAAATGCTACCAACTTACAACTGATGTGAAGTTCACTCTGCGTATAATACATACAAACTCTGAAATCTCTCTCGGGGAGGAAAGTCCAATATGAAATACAACAGAAAGTGGGCAGAAAGTGTGTGGTAGGCGCTCTGTGCAAACAGTTCCAGAATCAAGTAGCCTCTGGTTTCTGAGCCACAGGCCGTGAGAAGGACAACTGGAGATGGAGCCACAATACGACTTGGGTACCAGCGCCTGTTTCCCAGAAAGGTGGTTGTTTGAGCTAAGAACTAAAATCTATCACAGGCCGTCCCGCACCCTTTCCAGGAGACCAGAAGACAGTAGAGTTCGGAGGCCTCGGGCGCGACCCCTGGGGCAGGAACCCCCAAACCCTGGCTCCTACAAAGCTCCTTAGCCCTCTCGCGCTGTCGCCCTCGTCCGCGGCTTTGAGCCGAACGTGGCTCAGGCGCTCCCGGCCCGCCCCATCCCTCGTCGCAAGCCTCTGCCTCCCAGGCCTCCCTGACTCGGGCACACCGCCCCCTTCCGTCTCGGTCGCCACGGTTCGGCGCTCACTTCTTTGTGTAGAGCTCCTCTAGACGGTGCCACACAGCAGCCTGACCGGGCCCCGAGCTCTGACTCTGCTGCAAGAAGCCCGGTACATCCTTCATGGTGGCAAGAAAGTGCAACCCAGAATCACCACCACAATGTCAGCGGTGCAGGGATGGCGGCCGGAAGTGCGCACTCACTTCCGTCGCCGCGCAGTGCGAGGCATGCCGGGAACGCCCTGGTCAGTCGCCGCACTGCGCCAGTCGTCATAGGAATTACGTTCTTTAGGGACTGGGGCAAAATTATCTGCCTGGTTTGTGCCGGATTCCGGTGCAAGGGACCGGGGGCGGGGCGAGTCCACTGTGATACTCCTGGACGCGCGTGCGTGGCGGAGTGTCATGGCGCTGTGGGGCCGACGAGCTTTCTCTGCTTTACGGGTGTGGGGCCCGGGAGGTGAGAGGGGCAGGGCTCGACCCGGAAAGCTCGGGGAAGGCCGGGGACCTGCAGCCCCAGCTGTGGCCGTTGTGCGAAAGGGCGGGCAGCGGCCGGACGTGGGCCCCTAGTTTCTTCCGATCCTGGAGCTGCTCACACTATAGCGCAGGCTTTCTTTGTGCTGGGCTGTGGCAGTCGCTTTTTGGACCACACTCTTATGATCTCTAGTTTTCATAAATAATGGTGTCGCCACAGCTTTTTTTTTTTTTTTTAATTTATCTCGCTTTTTGGATAAATTTCTGGATCTTGGGTAAACGTGTAACTGCCTAGTTGACCTTCACAAAGGTTGAGTTAATGCTGCCGCTCGCAGGTGATCACATTCTTCTGCGCTGAGGTTGCACCTAAACCCAGGGCCTTCCTTACGCTACGCAAGCGTTCTGCTTCTGAGTTACACCCCAACCCACAGTCCTCACTAAGGAACTCAAGAGTCCATGTGGAAAAAACCGTAGATCCCGCAGTTACTAGGAAGGAGACACCACGTAATGGGGTGAACGATTAAGTAAATAACAGTACAGTCTCCTGTTCGTGGTGAAGAGTATAATAAAAAGATGTTCATCCAGGATCCTTGTATTCAGCTCGTATTCTGTGCCAGCCCGTTTGGATAGTGGGGATGGAACAGTGACCAGGACACTTGTTTCCACGTAAACAATTCTGATACCGCTAATCATCTGCACGACTGGCTGATTGTCGTGAAACCATTACTGCAACTCCTAACGCTGGAGCTGAGAGGTTGCTGAGGGGTGGGCAGTCTGGCTTTTTATAGTTTGGAATTTCTTTTGATTGTAGAGTTTGGGGTGTGGATTCATCCTTTGTGTATCTTTGGACAGTGTCTCTTTTAGGTAACATCCATGCCTTTCTCAGGGTCTTCTGTTCCCAGGAACTTTCATACCATGTAGTATGTACAGTTAGTTGTACATATTAAGTATGTTCTACATTTGATAAAATTTTGTTTTTGTTAGTGACTCATAACCATTTTACTTGAAGAGATGAATGAAAGCTATATTTTCAGTGTCCTATGTAATAACTAGCAATTGGTTGGCACTCAACAATGCTAATAACTTTTCTTTTGTTCTTTATGTATTTCTCAAAATGTTTTGCATTTAGGAGAACTCAATGTTTGGGTGAGGGTTGTGTGTGAATAGATGTTATCAGTGCTGTGGATGGGAGCGTTTAATACGTGGAAAGGATGATTTTAGAGTTTAAGCTTTCCTTTTTTCATTCTTGATGATTTGGCTGGTTTTTGCTAGACAGCTCCTTTAGGGATTTCATTAACTAATGCTCAGAAGAGGGGGCTTGGCCTTGTATGCTATCTTTGATGTGGCAGAGCCAGTATTTGTTTCTAAGTGTTCGTGGAGAGGAAATGCTCTTCCTTGCTGTGTGTGTTTCCTGTACTTGCTGGTGAGAGGTTTACAGGTATAGGTTCTTCCAAACTGTAAGAGTTGAGGCTGGGGATATAGTACACTTGCTTTCATCCCTAGCATTACAAATCCACATCAGGGTATTTCAGAGACTTGAGTTTCTTTTTGTGCCCTCAGCCTTGCATGATATACCAGCTGTCACCATGGAGCACATCTTTCAGAGATGAATTCTACGGTGGGAGAAGTGACTATTCACAGGAATACACAAGGACTGTCCACTGGTCTGTGGGCAGCAAACAGTGTCACTATCACTGGCTCAGTGTGGATGAGGCAGTTATGTACTATAGCTGCAGAGAGGGAAAGGGTGTCAAGAAGGAGCAGTGAGCTAGCACTGTTGCCTTTTGGATACAGGCCAGTGACTTATGGAATTTAGCAAGGATGTGGCATTTGACCCTACCCTTGACCCTGGGAGAGTGGTGCATTCTGAGGCAGAGGAAGGTCTTTTCAGGCAGAGTATATTGAACAAAGAAAGGGCAGTTTGGGAACACTAGCCTTAGGACATACAAAAGAGGGCATCCTTTTCTTTGGGTGAAGCAAAGGTTACAACTATCATCACTGGGATAGGATGTTGTTTTTTTTAATTATTATTTGTTTTTGGAGGAACTGGGGATTGAATTCAGACCCTTGTGCTTGCCAGGGAAGCGCTTATTCTACTGAGCCATCTCCCCGGCCCTGTAGGATGTTCTATAGTAAGACTTTGGAATGTTGTGGGGAACAGAGCTTCAAGGGATTCTGCAGCAGCAGGTTGTAAAATAGATATTTCAAGAGATTTAGCAGTGTTGGCTGTGTAAGGAGCAAAGGAAAAGAAGAACAACCACTACATTAGGGAATACTCCTAGAAGACATGTTCTGAATTGTCCTGATATATCCAAAGATCTGCATTTAGTATCTTTATTTCTGATGAGTAAAAGAAAATATTCCTGCCTCAGCCTCCTGAGTGCTAGCTAGGATTACAGATGTCTGCCATCACACCTGGCTTAGTTGACTCTTTTGTGTCTGTATTAGCTTTAGCATAAACCTTTATTTGGGGAGTTGTCAGATTGATTATTGAATCATTTTTCCCATCAGCATGGAAGGGTCCATGTACAGGCAGAGATTCTGCTGAGGAATGTCATCAAGGGCTGTCTAGAAGCCAGGGAGATATCTTAGTGGAATAAGTGCTTGCCTGGCAAGCTCAAGGTCCTGAGTTCAATCCCTGGTACCACAAACAAAACAAAACAAAAAACAAACCCAAAACAAACAACAACAAAACAAAAAAAGAAAAAGAAAAAACAGGACCATCTAATGGCAGAGTGGGCCTAGTGATTGTATCTTCTGAGTATTCATGGGAGTGGGAAAGGCACAAGAGCCGGGATCTGACTGACCTGATCTCAGAGTAGGTCACCAGGGTGATGGAGACATATGTAGCTTGGTTAGATGCCAAGAAGGTCCTAAAAGGTGAGACTATGGGTCCAGAAGCCCTTCAAGGTCCACAGGAAGTTGTAGTGCCTTGTGCTTCTGTGGCTTCAAAGAGGTATCTTCAGTTGTTACTATAGATTGATGTTCTGTATTACTTTTGTTTTCTTCCTCCTGCTCTCCCAGCCTGTGACTTGGGTTTGGTTTGGTTTGATTCAGTTTACTTTAGTTCAGTTTAGTTTTTTTGGTGTGTGTTTTGCATTCCTTTCCTGTAAATGACTATTTCATACTCCTAATGTTGGCTCCCAGCTTCTGGAGGTGACCTGAGTGTTACCTGTGCCTCTGGCCTTACCTGATTGTATAATGTTGGCAGCTGAGTAATATGTGCTTCTAATCAGCTACAGACACTGACGATGAGCTGTCTGTAGCAGTTTGACCCCTACCTGTGAGGGAGTAAGTGTTTCTGAAATGGTTACCAGAGCTCAGCTCTTATCTGAACAAGGTTTAGTGTAAAGTCTGAGAATTTTAATTTTCTTTAAATGTCATTGAATATGTGTACACATCCCATGTACATTAGGGTGTGGAGCTCTGCTGAGAATGTGCCCAGATTCTCCTCAAAGGAGTGGTCAGGATTCTGGGTTGGCCTCTTTGTCTGAGACCTTATACTCCACAGTACTGGTCTTTCATGACAGAACTGTGAAGTCCTACTTTCCTGAGTTACATAGTGCCCAATAATCAAAAATTTTTTTTTTTTGTCTCTGGGTAAGTCTTGATTTCTGATTCAAGGCTGCCTTCTATTTTAGCTAGTAGTTATCATGATGAGAAAAGTGTTTATTGTGAAAAACTGAAGTGCATTCCTATTCTCAGTGGTGGGAAAGGTAAAACCATGTTGTTGCTAGCACAAGACTGATTGTCATCTCCTGTTTTTTCCCCTCTGTGCTTACTGTCAGTATTGCAGGTGGAAGAAAGTGCATATCTAATTCTGTGAGTGCTTCAGGCAGTTTTGGAAGCAGAGGCAGCAGTGAAAAGAAGTTCTCCCTGCAAGATGTAGCTGAGCTCATTCGAACCAGAGCCTGCCAGAGAGTGGTGGTCATGGTGGGTGCTGGGATCAGCACACCCAGCGGCATTCCAGACTTCAGGTACCTCTGTGGTTCCCAGCTGTTGCCACTTCCCTGCCCTCTCAGAAAGGACTCATTTCTCTTTTCTCTCTACAGATCTCCAGGGAGTGGCCTCTATAGCAACCTCCTGCAATATAACCTCCCGTACCCTGAAGCCATTTTTGAACTTGAATTTTTCTTTCACAATCCCAAGCCCTTTTTTACTTTGGCCAAACAGCTGTACCCTGGGAACTATCGGCCCAACATTATTCATTACTTCTTTCGGCTGCTCGATGACAAGGGCCTGCTTTTGCGCCTCTATACTCAGAACATCGATGGGCTTGAGAGAGGTGAGCCCTCTTAGATGCTTCCACTTCACATAGTGACCGTAAGCTGCATTCACGATGGTATTGGCCAGGCTAGGCATCTAGGAAGTGTTTGCTGGGGCCTCACCGCATGTACAGTGATATGGATAGGGTTGGGCTGTCAGAGCCATTTTGCAGTTTACGGAGGTGGTGTGATCTCACAGAGATTGTCCCGGAGCACGTTTCATATGAGAAGGAATCCATAACTGAGAACACCAAGGCAGCAGTGGACATTGCAAGGGACGGAAAAGAAGGCAACAGAGGGAGGTGGGAACTGCTTGGCCAAGAGCTCTAGGACCGTAGTTAGGACAGTGACCAGGGTATGGGAAGCCACCTGTAGCCTTTCAGAACTGGATAGTAGTGGTCAGCACTCATGAGATGTCACTTTTTGCCTGTTTGTCAACTGAGCAATATTTTTGAAATTTATATTTGCATACTCATTTTTACTTCATATCTGTAGAATAGGACATACATGTTGCTAGGTGTTAGACATAATTTCATCTGAACTTATATCAAATGGATTTTTGTCTTGAGTTATAAAGGGTTTGTTTTAGTATGGTTTAGTCTTCATTGGGAGCCTCTGCCCTTGTTTATCATCCTCATTGATGGAAAGTATTGGAGACATAGGCAGAGAAAGCAGGCACTACTGAAGAGCTAGAGTCCCTCCCAGGAGGTTTGCCACACTCAAAAGTTGTATCTGGACTTGCATAGGCCCTGGAAGCTGCAATAGTTAGTTTTGATTTGAATTTCAGTGTCTGGCATCCCAGTTTCAAAGCTGGTTGAAGCTCACGGAACCTTTGCCTCAGCCACCTGCACTGTCTGTCGAAGATCCTTCCCAGAGAAGGACTTATGGGTGAGTTACCCCACTGGGGGTTCCTCTCTTCTGCAATTCTTGGCAGAGGTGAGATGTGAATGTGGTATTGTGTAAATATTGTGTTGGAAAGGCAACGGGACAATATTGGTATGAATATAGTCTCTTTATTTATAATTTAGAAAATAACACATGCAGTGAGATCAAATTTCCCTTTAGCCAGTTTCTGATGTCAAATGTCAGTAATTTGTTTTTTTTTTTTTTTAAATATTTATTTTTATTTATTACATTTATTTATTGTGTGTGTGTGTTGCCAGCTCAGCCCACCAGGGGGCGGGGCTGGCTGGCATGTGGTGCTGGGGATCGAACCATGGTCCCTGTGCTTTGCCAAGCTTGTTTCAAGTAGGTGCTTTAGACCACTGAGCCATCTCTCCAGCCCAAATGTCAGTAATTTGGTATGTAATGTTCCAGGCCTTTATCTTTTTGTAAGCATGCACTGTGTATCTGTGTGCAGATATTTAATGTGATTTCAGGAATGGAATCATAATGAACTTACTATTGCTATGATTGCTTTTTCCTGCACAGAGCTTTATGGATGTCTTATGCAGTTTTTCTCAGTGTTCTTATTAACTCTAGAGGTTCACAGTTAGCTATTTAAATATTAAGGGGTGTGTTTTTTGGTGTAATTTTTATTATTTACCCATTTATACCAAAGATGACAATTTTTAAAATTTTTGCATAAAATTTATATATATAGCCTAAAAAATTTCAAGAAATAAGACTTTGAAGAGGGGGCTAAGGGCTGGGGAGATGGCTCAGCGGGATAAGTGCTTCCCTGGCAAGGGCAAGAGCCAGAGTTCAATCCCTGGTTCCACCAAAAAAAAAAAAAAAAAAAAAAGAGGGGGCTAGAGATATAGCTCAGTAGCATAGCCCCTGTCCTCAAGTGCAAGGTCCCAAGATCAGTTCCCGGTACCAAAAAAAGCCAAAACAAAACAATTTGAAGAGGAAGAAAATTATCACCCTCCAGTATTATGGACATCCCAAGAATAGAACAATAGTAATTGAAGGGTTAAGAATAATGGAGCAGGACAACAAGGTTAGGGACCACAGTGGCAGTGGTAAAGGTAGTGAGTAGAACAGCATTGCTCCTCTTGCTCTGTTATTGGTAGTATGAGAGAGGAGAGAGACATGCAGGACCCAGCCTTGGACCCTGATTGGGCAATGAATGGGAAGTCAGCACTCCCCCTGACCTGCTGTCTTCACAGTGGGTGCTGAGACAGTGAATTGACCAACAACACTCCCATCACCCTTCTTCTAGTGGCATAGGAGATAAGAGAGACATACTAGTGAAGTGCAACAGAAGAGGCTGTGCAAGGACCAGGCAGGGCCAAGTATGCATGGGACTGGGAGCAGTCTCACTTATCTTTGAGGGTTCCACAGCAACTGAGAGAGCAGAGCAAAACAGGGCAAGGAGATCTGGGCAGGCTGTGAAAGATATCCAGAAAGTTGCTAGCTGAAGATTATGGCTCCCGCACCCATATCTGAAGGCCAAGAGCAGCCATGCACTCAGCACTAACCTTACTGTGGACTTTGTGGGGTTATGTAGCACAGATTTGGGCTCTAACTTGGACATTACCACAGAACTGTGGACACCAGAGGAATTTTATTTGGTTGTTTTTTTGGTTTTCCTTTTTTTTTTTTTTTTTTTTT